CGAGGACTACGTGATCCCCATCGATAAGCGTGGTTCGGTTGAAGACTACATTATCCCCATTGACAAGCGTGGTTCGGTCGAGGACTACGTGATCCCCATCGACAAAGCCTAAGCGACCGCCTGGAAGAGGTCAGCACAATGAGCTTTGGCGAGAGATGAGGAAGGGAGACGTGGCAACGACATTGGATGCTTGGAGGATTGGGACCTGGGTTCTCTCCGATGATGTTTGGGTCTTGGAACTGCTGGAAAGGACACGAGGGAAATTGTTACGACTTGTCATGACGAATTTGGACTGGGAATATTTTGGATTTATGATCTGGCGTTTTGACGTACCTTCGCTCTTTTAGCTAGGAAATTGGAAACACCTGACGGTGATTCTTCGAGTTCGTCTGACGTGGCTGCTTTTATGACTTTGAAGTGTCGGCTTGCCGAGATTTCCATCATGGTCGCCATCTTTGGAACCGGGCTGGGAAAATGAAAGTAAAACATACGATTGATCAAGTCCAACTGAAGGGTGTACATTGCGATAAGGAGAGACAGCAAGAAATGTTCTGTCGCGATTCAATTACCTAGAGGGGGTGTTGACGGGACCGGACAGTACGAATGATGTGTAAAGGAGGAGACGGAATGGCAAACACAAGACGGGACGGACGAGGAAAGTATCCGCCCTGCCAGACATTGCACCTTTGGCTGTTTGGCTGATAAGAAACGGCAGGTGAAAGAACCCCTCATTGCTACGGACAGGAAGGAATGAAGACGACTAGCCTTGAAATTGAACGAACGGTCTTCCCTTTTGAAAGTTCAACTCCCTCACTGCGTCCGCGTCCCTCAATTTCTGCTCATGTAACCTCTGCAATTCAACCTTCTTTCTGGCTTCAAGTTTGATCCTTTCCCTCTTTTCTTCTTCTTTTCTCCACCTCTCCTTGTCCTCCTCAGTCCAACGCGGCGGGAAAACATCGTCATATCCGTTCTAGGGATGGCGACGATGTCCATCCACCGATGTTCCCCAGTTCTCCGGGACGGTTGATAACTCTTCACCGAGACCCCGGCGACGACGACGACGCATGTTGGCGCTGGGAGCGGAGGGGTTTTGTGGCGGATAGGGGTCTTCAGGAGAATTCATGCGGTAGGAGGGAACTCGATAAATGCCATGGGTCGGATCCTCAGTTGTATACTCTTGCTGATAGTCGCTGCTAGCATCCGACTCGGGAATAGTCTCGACCGTTGGATGAGGGGGGTGAGACTGAGGGTATGAAGCCTTGGTGTAGGTAGATGCAGCTGGACGCTCAGCATATTCGACCCCTGAAGGTCGTTCATTCCTCCAAGAATGTTTCTCTTGATATGCTTGGAGAAACGGATTTGGCGATGCCTTAAATTCCGCCATCACCTCGGCGGTGTTGTTCGTCGCGTATCTTCTCTTCTGCATAGTTCGTCCGCGATTCAAACCTCTGGATGAACGAGAGTGACTAGAAGACGGTGGTGGTGGCGGCGGCGGAACAGAGTCGTTGCCAAAGCTCAGCCCAGGAAACAACCTCAACAAATGAGTCAAGCCTGGCTCCTCTGCCTTCATCCTTCGCTCGGGTTCTTGGCTACTGGTAACCGGATTGTTCACCACATGCATCCTCCCTCCAAGATTTGCTAAAAACCGCCTTAGTTGCCATATTCCCTCAAGGTCATCACCATGAGTGCTCTTAGCGGCAACAGAAGGAGGGGACCAACCAGGCGGTTCTCTGTGTAAGGAGTGCGAGTCCCGTGGCTTCTGTTTAACACACCTTTCTCCATTGATCAATATTCCTTTCTCCTCCTTACCCTGATCATTCCCATCTTCCCGATTCCCTTCTTCTTCCCTATTCCTTCTGTGCCTGTCCCAACTGTCCCTTTCCCTCCTTGCCTGCCTCTCCAATTCCGTCTCCTTCATCGTCCTTTGACCCGGTACTTGAACATCACTCTGACACTGCGTGGATCCCGCCTAAGGATTCTCACTCTGGCCCGTAGTGCGCATGTAGCGCTCAGACACGGTTTCCGCGCCATGGTTGAAGCCCGGATACTTCTCATAGCTCATCAGGAGTCTCTCCCTTTTTTTATCCTCTCTGCGCATCTCATCAAGGATATCATGCGGCACCTTCATCAGCTCCTCAGCGTTGGCTTCCGCCTTCCTCGTGCGCGCCGGGCCGGTCGAATCGTCCACCTCCATCCGATACGTGCCGTTACCATCGGGTACGAGGAAGTGAACATTACCTTGACCGTCGTACACCTTCGGATGCTTCTTTTCAGGATATCCGCCCTCGTCCCCGTCCCTACCAGAGCCAGAGCCAGAGCCGGATCCGCCGCGCTTCTCCAGGCTGTACTTGTACTTTTTGCGGTTCTCCCTGCCAATTATGGTGTGGGCGATTTGCACCAGCCAATCCGGGGCAGTCGGCTTGGGTTCGCGCTCGTTGTCGTCGTCCTTGATGCGCTTGCGAACCACAATCAGCTTTTCTTCTTCTTTTTTGCGCTTGAGCCTGCCCTTGCCCTTATCGACCTTATCGCGGCAAGGGGATCGGGACCGATTGCGGTGACGGTGACGGTCATCGTCGTTGTCGTCGTCGGCAGGAGGACTGCCGCGCTCTCTTTTGATTGGGGTGCGGTGGCCAGGCATTTTGACCGAGACTTGGCTGTACTCTTACTTCCGGAGAGATCAGCGTTCTTCCTGTGCAAAGGGGTTTGTTCTGTGGAGAACTTGGTTTGCAGGAAGACTTGTGAACGAAAATGGCAGTTTGGGCGGAAGAGTTAGCACTCTGACACTCCTTTATAAGGACTTTGTGGCGAAACACAAGGTGATGTTTTGGTGATCATCGACAGACACCTTTGTTGTCAATAACCTGGCCATGCTGTTGTGGAAATAACAGGCTCGGGCGTTTGGTGATTTGGGATTACAGGTGTTGAATCGGCAGGTCAGTCATTATGGATGAGGAGAACAAAGACCAGGTCTATGATGATGGTGGTGTCTGGCGCTGGTACAAAGCAATTTGATCATGCCGGCACAACAACAAAGTCAAGACTCAGGCTAACAAAGTCATAAGACTCTCAGCGCTCAAAAGAGTCTCGGTTTGATGACGAAATGCTCACAGGAACAGGTTCATACTATCAAAGCAGCTACATCAATACAACGCGCAATGCTCGACCCGCCTGCGCTCCCCTCCAAAAAGAATTATCGGACCGGCGGGTCCCGCCAACGTGAGGACGAAATCACACTCAGAGTCAAGGTCTCAGCATCAATGTCAATAAAACAAGAACACATGCTCATCTCACAATGACTGTCACCCGGCCCCCCCTTTCATCACTCAGTCACTCCGGTCACTCAGTCACTCGGTCAAAATCAAGTTTTAACACCGCCTGCGACTTGCCCCATTTTCTTCACCAAAGTGAACATCGAACATTCCGTCCGAGAGACTGAAACCTTCCCCCGGCCTTTGTACACTTTCGTCCCCCTCCCCTCCTCCCCTCCTCGTCATCTCGTCTCATCTAATCCCCCTCACTCACGACTCACCCTCCACCACTCCCATCGCCCATCAAAATGCCAATAACCAGACCTGCTAAGGATTTATTCCACCCTATATACATGCAATCAAATAAAAAAAAACAAAAAAACGTCTATGCATTTCCTCCGGTCTTGCACTTGCCAATCCCAGCATACATATATACCCCTGGCCCGTCTCCCTCCTCGTCAGGAGTAAGTACTTTTAAGACTTTAACTTTCGTTGCGAACCTGTCTGCTGGTCTATTCTAGGAGGGAGGAGAGTTGGTCGGCCAATAAGCAAGACAGAGCAAGCGGCTGCGTTGCTCGAGCCTGGAATATGACCTACATGAGCCCTTCACCACTCCCCGTCCTAATTGTCCAGTTGTCCAGTTGTCCAGTCTACTCCCGTTTTTCCCGTCTGTCTCAATACCCGTCTGCGTGCCGTCACAACATACGCGCGTCCCACGTATGTACCTTACCTACCTAGCCAGCAGCCGGCGCGAACGGAACAAAGAGGCTGAAAGCAGCCCTGCTGAGTGCTGGCAAGTCAAGGTTTTGGAGTCATCGCCAACATCAACGTCAAAGTCAATGAATAAACACCAAAACGTTGTTGGGTCTCAACCTAACGAGTGAACCAATAATGGACTTGGACCTGAACCTGAACCTGAACCTCAACCTCAACCTATTCCACCCCCCCTCGTCATTAATCAGTAGTCACTTAGTCACTCGGTACAAAAAAAAGTCCCGACACCTTTACACCTGTCTCTTCATTCAAGGATGGATTCCACGCGACCTTTGATGACTGATTGAGGAGTGACCGTTCGTTCCGGTCGGAAAAAGAGGAAGACACACTCAGGTCAGGATTGGTGGGGCAACTGTATGAGATGAGTCCCTAACAAAGAACCTGCAAGTCTGGCGGTACTAGAGTTAGCACCATAACTCGCATTTCTACGCACAAGCAATCAACC